ATGCTCTAGCCGCGGTACGTGCCTGCGATGAGAGACAAGGGCACGTACTCCACCCTTCCGTTCCACGCGCCTCAATATTGATCGTGGGATACCCCCCGGATGAATACAACATCCTGGAATCACCCCCACTCCCTATTCTCCTCACTCGCAGCCGCCGCGTTTTGGGGGCTCCGGTCTTCAGGCCGCAGTGAGTGGTACTCCACACAGGCGGGTTCTTGTTTCTACTATCACGTCGAGAGCACCCGTTTTTGCATCATGGTACCGGCCGTTGCCTATTTGCTTGTTGTGTGCTGATGATGTGGTGCTGCTCAACACACAGCGCTTGTAGGTGTGTGTATCCCTCCCGATCGGCTGTTGATGTCTGTCGTGTGTGATGGTTCGAAAGGAGCCAACCCCCTGTTGGTGGTCTGTCAAGCGTCAGTTGGTGGTCTGTCGAGTCAAGCCGGTGTTTTTTCTTTTCCAACCGTAAGGGTTGATCTCTAAAAGTCCTGAAATCTCCGAACTACGCAAGTTCCTCCCCGAACCCTTGAGGCGTCACAAACCATCTCGTCGGCCGTGTTGTACAATTTCAGAGGTCCGCAGCAAGTTTGAGCTTCATTAGTGCTTCGAGTGCTAACCTTTTGCTGCGTCGGCGTTCGGCCGAATCGACCTCGAAACACCCAGGTACTGTAGGTGCTCCCGCCATCACGTTGGATCCCCGACAAAACTCCAACAGGATGAACACCTCCGTTGACGCTGGAAAGGCTTCTTTACTTGTTCAGCCTGGGTGAGTTATCGTACTTTCTTCACCCATGGCGCCAAAGGGTAGAAGCAGGCACCACAACATCAAACCCGTACACCGGTTCGAACGGACGACGGGCAGTACTCGGAATGGTTTGACGTCGGCCAAGGTCTCCGACAGGGGTGCAACCTGGCCCCGCTGCTGTTCAACTTGTTCTCTGCCGCGATGCGCATGGTCGCAGTGACCGAGTTCGACAAGGACCCCAAGGTGACGGCGGATATGATCAAGATCGCAACACGAGTGGAGTGCACGGGCAAGAGGGGCAGGTCGGCGGGGAAGAAGGCGATGATGGTGACGGTCGCAGAGGCCCTGTGGGACA